TCTCTCTCTCTCTCTCTCTCTCTCTCTCTCTCTCTCTCTCTCTCTCTCTCTCTCTCTCTCTCTCTCTCTCTCCACGACTGGTGTGCACACGCACTCGGAAGGGGACTTCGACTCCAGTCAGCACAAACCACCAGAGAGACAGGCAAGGGCGATCTCATGTTGTCGCTCTGTCCAATCCGTGAATTTATAGCTCCGGACGAGGATAGAAGATCCCACCCGCAGTCGGGATTTGACGACCAGCCCCCCTTCCCCCACAAACCCCCCCAACCCCCCACCCTACCCCCTGTGACTAGCCACTGTGGTGTCGGACCCGACACGACCCCTTCAATTCACCGATGGATGCGCCAATGCACGAGCAGTGACGGTCCGCTGACGGATGTGACAACCCCATTATTTTAATTTATTTTTTTCTGCGTTCCTGTTTTTCTTCTACTTCCCCACATCTGTTTTGTACCCTGTACCGTTTGTTACCAGCGTCTTCACTACCCACTGCTTTCATGGATCGGTGCTCCTACACCCCCCCGGTACTCCGCGGTCCGCCCAAATTTCGGGCACCCATCACACCAACCAGGAGCTGCATCACAGCGTTCCCTTCACCCATGGCTGATGCGACTGCACCTATCTGCGTCGCCATTTCGCCAATGCTCCTGGCGACGATGGTCGCACCCTCCTTGTTCGCCTGAGCAATCGTCACCGCGGCTCTATCCAAACCCTCCACGTACACACGTGTGGACTCAGCCATGGCAGCTCCCACAGAGGACACAGACGATGGGTCATCTCCAACATGGAGTCTGCTGCCGCTGGTTCGCCTGAGCTTCGACCTACTTCCCGACGTGTCGGACCCTCCTCTGTCTGACCCTGCTTGGACGCCTGAACCTCCCCCCGTGCCTTCTGCTTCACCTCCACCCATGCTGTCTGAGTTCATCGCTTCATCACACGTCCCAGACGGTCTTTGCAACATCCACTCCATCGCCTGCCAAAGACGTCGATCGAATGTGGCATAAAGACCTTCGGCCTCTCTCTCCTCTTCGGTCATATCCCAATACGATTGATGGCCTAACCGCCCCACCTTATCCACAAGTAGTTTCAGCTTGCCCCAGGTTAAACCATTTTTTCCTGCAGTCCTCAGCGGACCTCATAATCCCTTCCTCTTTCATGCGCTCGGACACCCACTCTTGTCTCTCCCCCTTCTTCATGCACTTGTGCCTGGCGGACACATCCGCCATCATGGCTTCATCCTCACGTTGCCATTTCGCCAACGCCAAGCACTCCTCCAGCGTCCAAGGCACTATCTTTTTGGCAGGAGGTTTTCCTTTACGCATTCCCTCGTCAACTGTTGTCGGGTTGTCATTGGTCTCCTGCCCCCCTACGTCCTTTCCACTCCCACTCGCCTCCGCAGCGCACGCAGAGGAGGGTGGAGTGCACCCTCCTCTACCACGTCCTCCCCGTGCCGGCTGTCTTGCCCGACCGCTTTGTCCACTGCTGTCACTTGTGCCGGGGCGACCTTCACCTCGCCCCCTTCCCTCACCATGGATGGCCGGTGGCAAGCCGACACGCAAACGATCGACGAACTCGGACGACCCAGCCTCGACTGTGACGTGCTGGGGGGCTGCATGAGAGCACGCCTGCCCCTCACGCACACCACTGCCACTGTCCACGTTTGCCACCGTCGTCACTTCTGATTGGCCATGCCCCGACGTTCCTCCCTGTGACAATGTCCCCTGCCCACTCCCGCTTTGTGCCCCACTGCTGGTTGGATGTCACCCCGTAACACCGCTGTGGTCCTGACAGATCGTCCATTGACATCCGTCTAGGGAGACCACCGGAGAAAGGATCTTCGTACTCCCCGCACAGCGCCACTGTGAAACTGCCTGCACCGATCGTGCTGCCCCCGTGCACGGGCATGTGAGCGACAGTCGGTTGTGAGTACATAGCGGCAGACGAACTGCCGCGGCTGGCCACGCCCCCATGGTCATCTCGAGCATGGTAGAAAGGTACATGACCCGGTCGCACATCTCGGAGGCCGGGCTGATCGTTCCTCCATGTCGGCAGTTGCCCAACAGCCGCGGGGAAGGTAGGAGGGACACCGAACTTGTCAGCGTCCTGACTCAGCATGGACAAGTGGGTGGATGGCGGAACGGAGTGCAAGCCTTGATACTGCGCCGATTGTTGGGAACTATGGCGAGAACGTCCCATACCTCCGTTTTCGCCGTCCTCAACCCAATGTTGTCTGTCCATGCTTACAAAGCAGATGACAATGCAAAAACAGCATGACCTTCGTCCCCTATGAGAAACGGACGAAAACGGCAACGCAAAAGGCGAGAGCGAGGAGGAGAACAACACAGGCCAGGAAGATGGCAATGACAAGGATGACCGACAACCCTAGCATGAAGAGGACTGTGGGATGAAGGGAAATGCAAGGACTGCGGCATATGTGGATCTTGCTCCCCTTCCGCAGCAGCAACAGATATGACCTCTGCTGCCAGGCAGGTTGATCCCCGGCGCGTCTGCCATCGTCAATGCGGCAGACACACGTGGCTGCAGGGTCGTCGGCTGTTGTGCTGCTGAACCGGTTGCGGGTGGAAACTGACGTGGCCGGAGGACACGTCGGGCCGGAACGGGGGACTGGGAAATCGGGAGATGACTCCGACCGATGGCCGATGCGTAGTGAGCAAGGAGCCTGCAACGTGGCACGCATGCAGGTGATGTTCTCGTCCGTCTCGAGGGGATGACGCCCCTCACGGCGATGTCCTCACGAACCTCACTGCAGATTGGCGGGACTCGGGCTGCCACATTCGGGAGACCGCCGCCGCGCACGCCGGCCTTGTTGCTAGTACCATTGACAATCGGATGAAGCAGTCGATGTCCAAGGTATGCTCCGCAAGCTGCTCCTACAGCCCGACGATGTGGAATGTGCGGTGACAGGGCCGCTAGGATTGCATGAACCCTTTGCATGCCTTCGGACAGCCTGAGGTATGGCGCTTGGAATGATCATGGAAGGTCGGCAACGGCTACCCGACTTGTCGCTTGCATGGGACATGCACGAGACAGTCGTCATTCGAATGGTCGATGCAGCGGATGTCCCTTTCCTGTCTTGTTTTTTTTTTTTTTTTTTTTGGTTGCCTTTCACGTCGTCTACAACCCTTTTTGAAATCCTCCCGCCCGCCAAACCCGCCCAGCCTCCCCCTTTGAATTTTGAATTTGAACCGTTATGTGAGACGACGCGCGCCACCAGCGGGAAGGGAGCGTGGATGACCCCAACGCAAGGTGTTGGACCCTTCG